CATGCTGAACAAGCCCAGCTCCCTCAGCCTGTCCTCATAGGGGAGGTGCTCCAGTCCCCTGCTCATCTCTGTGGCCCTCCTCTGGACCCTCTCCAACAGCTCCCTGTCTTGTACTGGGGGCTCCACACTTGGACACAGTAACACCCCAGACACGGAGCTGCTGACCACCGCCTGTGCCCAGCCACCCCATTCCCCATCCCCTGGACTGTCCGCCCTCCAAATCCATGCTGCTCCAACTCAGGGCTGAGCACGCGGTGCAGGACTGCAGCACGAGCCCAGGTACACAACAGCAGCTGCCCTGAGCACAGGTGTCATCACCGTGACCCCACATCCAGCAGCCTGGAGCCCACCCCACTCAGTCTCAGATCCGCAGTGCCATTGGATGAAGCGCGGTTCCCAGCAGCTTTCTGGCACGCCGACAGGAGCTGTGCTGTCACTACGAGCATCTGCAAAGCAGCAGCAGAAGGGATTTTCATTCTGGCAGAGCCACACGAGAGCTCCAAACGCATTCCACAACCCGGGTTTTGTTCCACGATGCAGAGCTGATGCTGTCCCACCGAGCCCGACGGTGCCAGCACAGCACTGACCATAAAGAACCGGGACTACACACACACCAGGCTGCACAACTGCACCTGCCCACACCAAACCCAGGTGGGTTGATTAAAAGTTGGCACTGGGGCTGGCTGGCTGCCAGCTGAGTTGGGCTGCTCCTGCAGAAACCCTCCAGTGCTCCAGCGTTTGCTTTCAAGGAGGCTCTCCACCACCCCCACCACGGTGCTGCACCGCACTGCTCCTGCTTGCTGCTTCTGCTGCTGCCCCACCACGAGGATCACAGAACGCTGGGCTGGCAGAGCCCTCTCAGCTCCGCTGCTCCTGCAGGGCCGCCCCACAGCACGAGTCTGGGGCACAGCCGTGACAGTGCCAGGGGACTCTGGTGTCTGTTTGGGCTGGGAACACGCCGGCCTTGTCTGAAAGAGAGAATGAGGGGAGGCGGCCTCACACTGCACCCAGGGAAGGGTCAGGTTGGAGGGTAGGAAACATTTCTCTTCCCAACACGGTGATGCATCAGCACGAACTGCCCAGGGAGGGGTGGGGGTCACCAACCCAGAACCGTGGGGATGTGGCACCTGGGGACGCGGCGGTGGTGGGGGTGACGGGATGGGTCAGACTTGGGGATCCTGGAGGTCTCTTCTATCGTTAATGAATCCATGATTCTATGGTTCTAATCAAAAAGGTCAAAACAAATGCTTCCACCGAGAGGCAGCTCCAGCTGAGCCATTCCTACCCCAGGAGGCAGCCAGCACCCACAGCACCCACAGCACCCACAGCGCCCACAGCGCCCACAGCACCCACAGCACCCACAGCGCCCACAGCACCCACAGCGCCCACAGTGCCCACAGCGCCCACAGCACCCAGCGCCCAGCTCAGAGCTGAAGGGAAGCTGGAAGAGCACGAGGTCCCCAGCACACCAGTGGAAGTTTACAGCAGACCAGCCCTAATTAAACCATCCGTAAGTGGCACACGATCATTGTCAATGTTAGAAAGAACGCAGCCCTGAGCCAGCACGACCACCTCGCTTCTGTGATTGCAGCCCACGAGGCTGCCTGGGCTCTTCTGGGCAGCACCCCAAGTCCGTGCCACGCTGGCATCCCAAATCCATGCAACACTGGCATCCCAGGACTTTGCTGCACTGGCACCCCAAGCCCTTGCAAAACTGGGACTTCAAGTCCTTGCCACATTGGCATCCCAAGTCCTCGCCAAATTGGCATCCCAAGTCTTTGCCACATTGGGATCCCAAGTCTTCACCATCTTGGCATCCCAAGTCTTTGCCACGTTAGCACCCCAAGCCTTTACCACCTTGGCATCCCAAGTCCTTGCCAAATTGGCATCTCAAGTCCTTGCCAAACTGGCATCCCAGGACTTTGCCACATTGGCACCCCAAGTCTTTGCCATCTTAGCATCCCAGGAGTTTGCTGCACTGGCATCCTAATTCTTTGCCACATTGGCATCCCAAGTCTTTGCCACATTGGCACCCCAAGCCCTCGCCCATTGGCATCCCAATTCTTCACTGTGCCCAACAGCACTCGGGGAAACGTCTCCCATGGCCCCACAAAGTCTGCCCCGAGATCCCCGGGCTGCAGTCTGCTCCCCCAGGCAGAGCAGCCCCTGCAGATCAGCTTTGTCTCTGTCAGCCCCCTCCAAATTCCTGCACTAATCCCCATCCTCTCCAGTTTCAGTTACAATTTTCCACATGGCAGAGTATCAAAAGCTTTGCTGAACTCCGGCTACATTGGATCTGCCCCACGTCTTTCATCCAGGAGAGGATTTTGTGCTCAGAGGAGAGGTGAGGACGTGGATGGGTTTCTGTTAAATCTCTCTTTTATCTCCTTTCCATTTAGCCGTATGGCTCCAGTTGCTCTTTAGGATCACTTCCAAAGCATTCCAGCCCACCAAGTTGAGCTCTGACAACAGCACCTCTCACACAGTCAGTGCACAGAGCAGCTGAGCACTTCCCTGGGGGTGACCCAGAGGGGCACAACGAGGGGGCTGCTGCTCCAGCACCCATTCCCCCCCCATGCTATGGGGCGCAGACACAAGGACCAGAGCTCACAAGGCACGTGCCTACGTGGCATGGAACTGACACCATCAGCAGCAGTGGTCACACTGCTGTACGCACAGACACGATGATTCCAGAGTAAAAATAATTGGAGTGGACCAATATGGCTAAAAAAAAAAAAAGAAAAAAAAGTTTGTAGCAGGATTGAAGTCGCTCCTTTGCTGTGGGATCCAAGCTGATGT